CGTACCGTGTCGAATCGTACAGTGTGCTATTCTTGCGGTGTCCAATCGTACTGTGGTCAATCGTACCGTGTCTAATCGTACGTGTCCAATAGTACGTGTGCAATCGTACTGTGTCCAATTGTACCGTGGTCAAACGGAATACGCTCCATGCCGTCTGTGACTCGGCGTCAAACCCCAAAGGAGACGCCACCCCGCAAGGCTCCAAGCCGCCCGGTCAAGACCGGACGGCTGGAATACCCCCCCTGGTTAACGCTTTATAAGGCGTCTCCCCTACGGCCCCCCTACTTCTTCTTCGAAGAGAGAGGCCCGGGCCTACTCTTCTTTGTCATTGGGGGAGTTCCCCCCAGGAGGGAACATTGAGCGACCTATTTTATCTAATATAATTTGTAAGTGACATTGTATATCATATTTTCTGCGATTTTTAATTAATTCTTTTTTTGTATTTTTTTTTTTTTCATTATTTGTATCTTATTAATTGTTTTTATACGTTATTTATTGTAGAAATGCATTTGAAAAGGACCTAATACAAGGTCGAAAGCGTTCATGCTAATTTAATTGTTTAATAAACGGATTTAAATGTATACACTCTAACAACAGTGTTATTGCTTCAATAGCCAAAATTCATTGTTCTTTGAAAATTTTTGAAGCTTCATATAATCATCTTTACAACATATTTAAAATCTTTGTCGTACGACAAATATAATATTAGCCTTATGCGTTAAGAGCCGTCTACAATGGAGAGTTGTAGGCCGTAATAGTAAGAAATTGACCAATCACAGACGAAGTACAGAAGAATAATCGATTGTGATTTGTCAATTTCTTACTATTACGGCCTACAACTCTCCATTGTAGACGGCTTTTTAAGGGTCGTCTACAATGGAGAGTTATAGGCCGTAACAGTAAGAAATTGGCAAATCACAATCGATTATTCTTCTGTACTTCGTCTGTGATTGGTCAATTTCTTACTATTACGGCCTACAACTCTCCATTGTAGACGACCCTTTATGCGTTATGCAAAAGTCTGTGCTTCGGCCTTAAGGGTCGTTTACAATGGAGAGTTTTAGACTGTAACAGTAAGAAATTGACAAATCACAATCGATTATTCTCCTGTACTTTGTCTGTGATTGGTCAATTTCTTACTATTACGACCTACAACTCTCCATTGTAGACGGCTCTTTAGGAGGCCTTCTACAATGAGATATTAGTAATAAATCAGAAGTCAGAAGCAAGAAAGTGACCAATCACAGTCAAATCACAGAAGAATAATCGATTGTGATTAGTCAATTTTTTGCTTCTGACTTCTGATTTATTACTAATCTTATTGTAGAAGGCCCTTTAAAGAAGCCAATCACAGACAAATCATAGAAGAATAATCGATTGTGATTGGTTAATTTCTTACGACTCACAGCTGTATTGTAGACAGGCTTAAAGCCTATTCTACAATAAAGTTGTATGTCGTTGTCGGACATTGGCCACGTTCAGCAGACTGAGCAGATCAGTGAACGCTTAGTGATTCTTTAATATGATTGAATCTTGCCTTTAGATCTTCACTGGATCTAAGTGTAGAAACCAATCATATTGAAGAATCACTAAGCGCTCACTGATTTACTCAGTCTGCCGAACACGGTCATTGCAAGTTTGAGCTGAGCACTTGATTTACGACAGCTCTTGACGACACGAGTCAACTCCATTGAGTAAAAAAACAGAAGGGAGCGTTTGGTCCAAAAAGTGATGATGGAAGTAGCTATATAAAGTGCTTAAGATGGCTGCTCAAGGGCGCCAATATTGAATGACTTTCAGCATTTCAGCATAGTAGCGATATTACATGTATCTACATGTATCGCTATTATGCTGAAATGCTGAAAAATCATTCAACAGTGGCGCTTAAAAAATTTACTGCAATAATTAGACAAAGATATAGTTGAAAAAAAATAATTTTAATGTGCAACAATATCAAATATTAAAAGTCAAGGTTGTAAATAATAGTAAATAAATAATATTAACAATTAAATCTTATTGAAGCTCGAGAAGTTACTAAACTATGAAATATATCTACGACCGTAAAAATACTTCTCCTGGCTGAGGAGTATTTTTTCGCAATATTTTAAAAATTAGGGGGGTAAACGGGATCTCTCATATATGTGATGCAAATCCGGCATCTGATATGAATTTAAGAATTGAAATTTAATTCAAAAAACTCGCGTGTAAAAATTTACACGCGAACAAATATATATATGTATATATATACACATTTTTTTGCACAACATCCTGCGATCGGTTCGTATGACCGTAGATATATTTTATAAATAATATTAAATTTGGTTATCACAATTTATTGTTCTTTAAATATAAGTTTTGTATAAAAGTTTCTTATTCTATTCTCTGGGCTCATGTTGTTACATACATATCTAATTCATAAATTAAAATAAGTTTTGGCGATAGATTTTAACAATAAATTTACAAGATTCTCTAATGGGTGATTGTCTACTGCAAATTCCGCTATTATACGTTGTATTACTTTTCCTTTTTTTATGTTGTATAAGTTTTTGATCAAAACAGCTGCTGCTGTTACACCACAAGCTTGTACAGTACATTATTACTTCTTTTTTATGATACAACACTTATTTCACATTTATTTATAATAATTTTTATGGTTTGTTGCACATGTTGCACACAGGACACATCCAGACACGTCAATGCGTAAGCTCAAGCATTTCCTCGATTCTTTCTCCCTTTCAAAAAGTGATCACTCAAGATGATTGCCATGACGTACATCCGTCCCCGGATTTGCTCATCTCCCACTACCAATACGTTCCCTCCTGTTTCTTTTTACTCAATGGTCAACTCAATACGCTTGCGCCCGACGTCCGACATACGACTTATTGTAGAATAGGTCTGAGAGGTTCTCTTCTTCAAACGATGCAGGATAAACAGTGCGCATACGTCGAAAAGCGCCACCTCGCGGGGACTGATGCTATCGCAGAAGTGATCCCAACGAGTGCCGACGAGTTCATCGATAGTCGTGACCGCCCGGCTTTCACCGCGATTAATTTCATCATCGCTTAGAAACGTCGTTGTTGCTTCTGCTTCTGTGAGACAGACGTAAGTATTCATGAAAAGTTTCTTGCAGTGAGGCGTTTAACTCTCGGTGGAAATATCGGTAGGCGTGACAGTGAAAAACAGAGTGGTCCGTACACAGACGGTGACGGATTCTAGTAAAATGGCCGTGCAAAGTCTACACAAACGCGCGTTCCAGAGATCATGATTTGCATGCGATGTCTCGTTCAAGGAAATATTTAGATATCCAGTTCCATATATTTTTGCACTGTTGAGATGTTCGGTCGTTTTTTGGAACACGATCGTCGCGATGTAGACCCTCGGTCAAGACGTATATGCGCGTGTTGCACGTCACTGAATGCGAATTGATTTTTTCCACAAGTGACCGCGATGCGATGATTCGTACTCTCGCTCTGCAAATCACAACGACCGGCTGTGTGTAGCCTTTAAGATACCTCATAGACAATTTGTAGCATGCTTATCTTATCCGTGCAAACGCAACGAAATGATGCCTGAGCTCCTGTAAGACAACTCCGATACGCGATCAGCTGTCATCGCGACTTCTCTCTCTCTCTCTCTCTCTCTCTCTCTCTCTCTCTCTTTAATTGAGAACAGCATTGGAGAGTCCGAGACCTCGAGCGTTATGATCGATCACCGTTGCCCTTATATCGTTATATCTGCATTTAATCGAGAAAGCATTTAATCGAATCTCGTTCAAGAGAGATGTCTTTCTTCACAATATCTTTATCTACAATAATGAGAAACTTTGTATTTTTTTGGAATACATTATCGGTTTTTTTCCAACTTTGACAAGGCCTACCATTAACATAATTGGAGTTTCAGAGCTCCATAAAGTGGTTGATGGTTTTTGAGTGTTTTTTTGTCTGTTTATTTTGTAATATATTATTTTTACCATTTTTTAAATTAATTACAGCGTTAGTGTCACTTTAGTATGTGCAGAGAATAAAGTATATCAGCTTTCATCGAAATTAATACCCTATTTATCTTTTATCTATGTAACTTTCTAGATGTCATTTTTTTCACATGACTGTAACAAATGTTTGGAGTAAGAAAATTAAAGACAGTCGGTATATACATGTACAATATATAAAATATGTTAGCATCTTTTATTTTTACGTTGGCTTTATTTTGTTTACTTTGCTATTGTAACTGCTCCAAAAAGCAATCTTGCTCAATTATGTGGCATGCAGTGATCTGTGTTATATTTTAATGAACGAATTGTTCATTATTCACAATCACAATAAAACCGCGATAATTCAATAATAAAGAATTTACACTTCAGATATTGTCAAATTTTAATTTTTTTGTTTTAAGTTTTTTTCTTCTATTAATATAATATAACAAAGTTGTTGTTGATATGTTGAATCACGAGACAGAAAAGAGTTTCTTTATTTTGTCTTTTTACCTAAAAGAATTGATTATTTAGATGCACTTAAAGCACCTATTACAATCAAATCAAGCTGTCATCTTATCAATAGATCACATAATGATAGTGTTTGTAACTACATTTTACTATATTTTACAAGATTTGAGATAAAAAGGACTTTCATGTATAAATAGTATTTAAATCGTCGACGAAATTTACTTGCAGATAATTATTTCTGGATAAGTAGATTAAGTAGTGAAGAAAGAAGGTAGGCCACGAAGTCAATCAAAGCACACGTATTGCTAGATCAGAAAAGTCACTTACCTAGACCGGAATATCCCAGAAACATAATTGTTAGAATACTAGCGATCAAAAGATTGATCATCAATCTACGGTGTAAAGAACTGTAGACTGATGAGAATTTACGGTCGTATTATTTTCAGAATTTACGAATAAACTTGTATTATATATATATTGCTTGTTTTATATTTTTTAACTTATGCTATAGGGTGTTCATAAAATCGCCCGCAATATTTCGAGAAGTGATTGAAGATCTAAAAAAAGGAAAAAAAGCTATATAAACATAGGTACGGAAAGAAATTTCCGAGTTATAGCCACTTTTATGTCCGCTTTGGCATTCCTTTCTTTGGCAATTTCGCACAACGTACTTCGATCTTGACATATCGTTTTTTTGCGATTTTCTTGCCTCTGTCATATTCAAAATTGTTTTTAAGCGTTTTTTTTTTAGTATCTGTATTGAAAGTGAGAAGTCATTTTAGTAGTTTCGCGTTTGACAGCTGAGCAAACTGACAGATTTGATTAGACCGCGCGACGTTGTTAGATTGCCATTCGATATGTAAAGCGTGAACAATCGCTACTAAAAGTTTACCGCATTGGCAAAAAGAAATAAGATTGTTTAAAGAGATTTTGAGCATAATAAAACTACTTATTTATTTCTACACTAATGACATGTTGATAAAATAGAGTAAACTATTTGTATGTATACAACATGTGACTCGAGTTCTGAGAATACTTTTCTGTAACGTAAAATTAAACTTTTGAATAAGACTGTCACGCGATAACTACCTTAACAGTTATAACTTGGAAACGACTGATTTCCGGATCTATGTTTATATAGTTTTTTTTTCTTCTGTTTGGATCCCTAATCATTTCCCGAAGTATTGCGGGCGATTTTCCCGGGACACCCTGTATTTCAAGATCTTTGTCAAAAACATAAGCACAAATACATTATTAGATTATTACAAAAAGTTGAAACAGAAACAGTAAAAACTTAATTTGTACATATAGAGGTTTTTACATGAACGAGTTAGTTACTAGTTGATTTAGTGATTTTTATGTAAAAATTTTTAATATGTGTTTATGTATTATTCATAGAAGTTTTATGCAGGAAAATTTTTCAAAGATCTTTTAATCCAGAAGAACTATTTAAGGTTCAATAGACAAAACTCAGAAAGTAATTTCCGCTTCTATACGCGCGCTACATAAAAATATTAAAGTAAATTTATATATTTTCTATTCATTGCTACGTGATACTTTTATTTTTTCACAGCTTTATGTTGCAACTATATGCGCGTCGGCATTAATAAGTTGTTTTTTTAAACAAAATTATTGTGTGTTTACTTTCTTCAATGACTAATACTGCAGTGTCTCACATTCATATTTCGAATGCTACCTAAAGACCTATGCATTGTATCATTTGAATATTAAATGGTTTCTATTATATCTTTTTTAACTAAACAATTAATAATAATGAGTTTTAGGCTTGTTTAGTTACAAACTATGCGAAGTCGCTGATGAACAAATATCTAGCGTAAGGCTCCTAGGACCATTCAGGACTTCGCATAGTTTGCATCTTTTTTATTTTTATATAATTGCGATATATATATATATATATATATATATATATATATTTGTCATATGTTATGTATTACAATATTGCTCAAAAAATCGATATTATCTGATAGTGGTAGTTTATTCTCACGAATATCTCAATTACATATGTCGCGTGTTTTTTAATTTACCGTTACTGTGGCGGTTGCAAAGTGAAAAGAGACGATATGAATATTTAAATGCAGCGAAAATATACGCGATGACCAAAGTGGGCGTGATGTACCTATGTCAGTTTATCGATTACAACGCATTGCGACGATAACCATCGCCGTTGGTAGCCGTCGCGATGACGCTGCGCCGACGCAATGCTGGTCTACGCGTACCTTTATGATTTCTTTCTCTGATTGTTTTTTTTTTTTAGGAAATACACATACAAATCTTTTCTCTTCTACCATCGTCTTATCTTTTCTCTTTTATTTAAAAATTTCTATGTGTACATAGTGTTTAAAAACATTATATTTTCTCAAAAAAAGGTTGTTATAATAATAGTTTTTTTTTATATACATAAGCTTATAAAATAAAAATGAAATTTTTGGAGGCCATACGCTGGATGTTTGTCGCGTATTTTGTATATATACATTCAAGAGTCTTAAAACTCATTACTTATAAATAATATTTTATAAAAATTTAAATATATGTGTGCACTTATAAGAAATATGGTAAATATATAATTTAATATATAACATTTTAAATCTGCAATTGCCAGCGTGAATAGAATGTACTCGTTCATTATTGTTACGTCATCTTTGTAATGTCAAACTTCACTTTTCAAATAGTCTTTTGCTCTCGTGCACTCTTCGTGCACGAGTGAAAAGTGTTATTGATTCCACGAAATCATTAAGCTCGTCACAGAACAACTGCTTTCGTACAAGCGACATAAGCTCGTAAAACGAACCGGTCAAGTCAAGTGTTTCGGGATACAGGCGATACTGATTTCACACAAACTGCATTAGATTTCTCTCGGGACATTTGAAAGTAAAATAAATCATAACATTGGTTTCTTGTTACGTTACGAGGGATGATTGATAAGTATCTGAAACAACGTATAGATAGCGACAGTAGCATTACATTTCTGTTGTTGATAAATTTCGTTGTTCAGAGAAACAAATGTCAGATGCTGGTTCATTATTGCACGTAGTGTGACAGCTCACCACAAAGAGATTAATTAAATAATTCGATACGCTCGGTACTTAAATAACTTTGCTCCGTATCTTTGTTTCTGTTGTAGAAAAACATGACTGACAATGCAGCATGTATTTTTTTGTTGTCATAGAAATTGATAGAAATAAAGGAAAAAGTATTTTCACGAATATAGCGTGTTCGCGGATTTATAGATACATGTCAACAAATAGTTTATAATTTTATAGATACATGTGAACAAATATTATTACATCTTGGAAATTTTGTTTGCTACACACACACACACACACACACACACACACACACACACACTATATGTACTTTCCTTGTTTTAGATATTAAGATAATCTTTTTTTGTTATATTATGTATATATATCTAAAAGAAATGTTATCTTCTGTCATAGGTTAGGCAAGTAATACTGATGGCGAGATATTGAGATTATTAAAAGGTGACTGGAAGATTTAGTCGCGCTTCAAAGTCACCATCAAGATCATTCAGCTAAGTTCCACACAAGGATCATGAAAATGGTGCTGTCTCAACGTCAGAGGGAGGAGTTGTAAGTTTTGTAGTCTTGTTTCTTAATAACATTCTTTTGGTTCGCGCTTCGTTCCGATGTGCATTTCCAATATCTCTCATCGTTTGCGCGATAATGGATGCCAGTTTTTCCTATTCAGATTGTGATGTTACTTTCTTTCAATCTGAGTTCAAAAAGATAGTTTGTCAACGTAGTCTAAGAATCAAGGAAATACACAAAATGTATGATTAATGATGGTGTAGTGTGTTTTTTTATTTCCGCATTATATTTTAAAGTTCTTTCTTACGAAATTTGATTATTTGACTAATTAGTTGATTAGCTTCACTTGTATTTTACATCTCTAACGTCGCCAAAATTGTAGTTAATTAGTACTTAGATGTTGAAAATTAGAAATATAATTTTTATATCGTATTAAAATTTCTTTGTAAACTTTTTCTTTTTTTTACAGTTTTTAGCAATGAAATTTCTAGAGAAATTTCAATTAAATCTAACAAACTGTTGGATGTTTATATGCTTTTGGATTATTCGATAGTTATTTGAATATATCAAGCGATCATTTATTGTATGTATAGTGACTTCTATTGTCTTATATCGCCTTCTTTGAGCGAACAACCTACAGCGATACTCGTTTAACATAGACATGCCATCACCATCAATTATATTCTCGATCTATGATTGCTAATTCTTATGATGGAAAATCGTTTGTCAATCGGTCAATCTGGGGCAAATAACAAGCAACATCGTGGGGTAGCACTCGGTGGTGAAGATGTCTATCGAGCATGCGCAAACTATAGGATCGATAGCTTGCACAGAAAATAAATGATGGTGATAGTAGCGGCGAAATCTTCAGAGCTGACAATAAGTGAGAAAGAAAATGATATATGTTTATGTAAGTAGATAGGAAGGCTATAAATAGATAGATAAATAGGAAGGGGAGGAAAGAGAAAGAGAGAGAGAGAGAGAGAGAGAGAGAGAGAGAGAGAGAGAGAGAGAGAGAGAGAGAGAGAGAGAGAGAGAGTGTGTAAGAGAGAGATAGAGAGAGAGAGCATAATTTATTATGCGCTCCGGGATAAAATCCTCTTAAGCGCAAAATAATAATTTACACTATATATAACATAAATAAAAAACAATAATATACTACAAAAACAGAGCATAATAAAATATAATAAAAATACGAAATATATAAACGGTAACAAGAGCCCTACGCTGGATGTAACTCGAATCTCAAGGGAAGAGCTAAAATCTTCGAGTTGTAGAAGTTTCGACTTATCAAGGTTTCTTTCCTTTCCGCTCCGCGGAAAGGAATAAAAAAATTTCTATCTTATATATATATAGAGGTTTTCGAGTTATAGAGATTCGAGTTATCGAAGTTTGACTGTAGTATATTTCTTTTCACTTCGTATTATTGTCACACCAACTTTCTTTTTTTCAACAAATATACTATTCTTTGGCTTAAAAAAATCCATAACTAAATTTAAAAAAAGTATAAATTACAATTTTATAATGTTTCAAAACCAACCTCATTATTATAAATTAACTTAATAAATTATAAATTAACTTTTACAAAGAAAAGCTGAAAAAACTTTAAACTGTAACTTGTCATATTTAATTAAAGATTTTCTATTTCGTGAAATGACATATTTTAGCTGTAATAATTTGCAATCTTGAGAGATTCACGTACTTTTTGCAAAAAGGATCCCGTGATTATATTGCGTTTATTTATTTTATTTATTCAGCTGGTTTATATTATATAAGATGCAAATTTTTTTTGAAACTTTGTTTTGATTTCTCCGTGATTAATATATCATTTTACAAGAAGAACAGAAACTTCTTAGATTTGACTGACTGATGATAAGACGTAATATTTCGAATATGATCTAATAACTAAGCGCCAGAGCGCCGAGTGAGGAAATCGCTTAGCTCTCCGAGATCGAAGAAATTATGCTTTCAAAAATTATAAATACTTATTTTTATGATTCCAAAGTGATTGAAATCAGATTGGGAATTTGTTCCAAATAGTAAATCGGCGAATTTTATTGGTAATTTCTATTCGGATGTTTCGGAGCGTTTGAAGTGTACGAACAAGACTCGATTATAAAGAGTTTAACAGCTGATGTCTTTTATATGACAATACACCAACACTGTCGCCGTCAAACAGTTTTCTGACTCAAAAAAATAAGTGCGCTCACGACCATCCGTCTTATTCTCCAGATTTAGTATCTTACGATTATTTTTTTAAATTGAAAGTGATGAAAGAGATCCGATTTTGAAATAATCAAAGTCGCCATGACAAGGATACTCAAAGCGATTCCGAAGTAAAAGCTCAAAAAATCTTTCCTTTCATTATTTGATCACTGTATCGACGCAGAAAAACATATTTCAAATAAATCAAAGCAAACTTATAAACCAATATGGCCATTGTTTCATTTTCTACTGTGTCAGGTTATTTATCAGACATACTGAATGTACATATGTCGTTTTTTTCCAAATATATATACGAAAGCACTTCTTTTATATTATCGAGTGATTTCAGCTTCTTCTCCAACTCAATCATTTCATTTTTCATTTATGTGTGAACTGAGAAAAAAAAGGAAATCTATATATTGTATCATGGAAAGTAAGAAAGAAGATGATTGGTCAATAGATGTTTCTCGCATTCGTTATATTTATGTTTAAAAAGACTTAAAAGACATGTGCTGTCCATATCCAATTTCAGAACTGTTTTATTTCTCATCAATATCTGTAATATTCTAAAGACATCTGCATAAAATACACACACACTCTTACATATTGACTATAAGCGTTATATCTTATGGGGTATCCCATAATAGGGGTAAGTCAAGATCAATCGCTCGGAAAGTAATTAAAGATTCAAAAACAAGAAAAAAATTGAGAGAGATATAAACATACATCTGGAAATGTGTGTTGTTTTCGAGTTCGCTATTTTTATGTTGAAATTTGAAATTGTGTTTTGAATTTTTTGTCGAAATTAAAAGAAGATATGGTTAGTATATGAGTTTTATAACGTAATTAAAGTCAAATAAAAGTTGCGGGCTGCCTTAGCATTACTTAAGATGTATCATGATGTGGAGATACAGTCCTTATCATCTTTTAGTAAAAAATCAGGCTCCACAATTCGTCATTTCCATGGTAATTAGTGACTCCCTCTCTGCCGCTCGCGCGCGCGCGTGTGTGTGTGGGGGGGGGGGGGGGGTGAGTGCGCGTAAATGAAAATATGAAAATTATAAGAGATGTTTGAAATATCTTCCTTCTGCAAGAATTCGAAATACAGCAATTTCAAATTTTAACAAAATTGGCGATATGTAACTCGAAAATAACGCTTTTCCAGACATATGTTCATATCAACTTTTTTTCTTGTTTTTGAGTTTTCAATCAATTTTCAAGCGATTGACCTTGACTTACGGAACATTCTGTACATATATGTATTTATTGATGATTGACATAAATATCGACGTAAAATTCATGTAAAAATTTGTGTGAGATTACGAATATGTTTGATAATTTAATATTTTTGGATAGAGGAGTTCTACCGGAATAAATTAAATCTTGCTCGGTACACATATCAATCATCACATCTAATATATTTTGAATATTATAACTTTCGCATGCGGTTAAGTGCGCAAGTGACCGTCTCGCAACGTTTGCACATGATGGTGAATACAAAAATTATCCGTAGAACGCTTTCCGCACTTACAAAGACTATGATTCTTATCTGTTTTACAATAGCTTGTAGCCATTCTTGTCTATTTCTATATCCTCAACACATCTGTTGCAGAATATTATGCATGATATAAAATTTCTCATCGCCAAGCTTTTGAAAAATTTCTTTGTCATTATTCATATTGGGCCCTTTTTAAGTTTCCATGATTTACGCATAAGTAACTGCACAAATTATATTATGATGCTCGCAGAAATAAAGAAGCTTCAAAAGAAGACATTTCTAACCGTTATGAATTTCCATTCACTTATTAAGATGTATCTGCTGCACTCATAGCACATTAATGAGATTTAAGAATAAGAAACAATAATACGGATTCCTGTGAGCATCATAATATAATTTATGCAAATAATTACTTTGATATCAGCTACCACAATAACTCTACCAGGTTTTTACGAATATTTCTATAAGCAAAAACATGTATTCAAATTGCATTAACACAAACATATTGTCGAATATTATTAATAAAAAAACATTATAAATATTTTAATTTATAAAAATATTTAAATAGTTTTCTAGGGTGCAGTTCCAAAAAGCTGAACCCTCCGATTTTGTCGATTGGCATACTACTGTATTTTAATGCGCTGATTACGAATATGATAATGAAAATTACCGACAAGGTTATTTTGAATGTTAAAACTTAAAAATCATTCCTTTTTTAAACATTATTTTGATAAATATTCATGTAACAAAAAAATGTTTTAAATGGAAGTTGTAGCTCTTGGAAAAATACATCATTTATGTTCCATGCATCTTTTGCATAAAACCAATACTTTTCGGAAAAAATGAGATAATAGAAAAATTAATTGGACACTCCCTTTCCTCGCACTAGCCTAATACAGTAAACTCTTACTATAGAGACGCTAGTTATAAGTTCGCCTGAGCTTCTCCGTAACTTTAGCGTCTTGAAAAATAAATAAAAAAGCAAAAGAGCGTAAAAAACTAAAACAAAATAAAATATAAATATAAAAAGCTTAAAAAAAAAAAAAAAAAACAAAAAAAGAAAGAAAAATGGAGTCAGTTCTTCGTCACGTCCTCGTCGTTGACTCCGGGTTCGGCTGAGAACGAAGAATATTGTTGCACTTCCGCTGCAATTTTGCGCTTCGCAGAGAAATAAAACTCGAAGTTTTGCGCAGATCTTGATTGTCTATTGTGATCATTTGCACAGAAGATTATTGCACATGTACAATGTTATACAAATGAAGCACTATGCATTGATATTAATGATATTGTAGTGACATAGGATTAGAATAGGTTAGGTTAAGCCTCTTGCACAATGGAAGAAATAGCGATAGCGATAGAAATAACACCAGTTTTAAAGAGTTTATATTTATAAATAACGGTAAGAACAGCGGAATCTAACATACAAAAATACACATGTATCAATGCAGATCAGAAAACGGAATAAGCAATAGCGATAAATTTTCCAACGAGTTGGAATTCTGTGTCTATTGCTTATCGCTATCACTATTCCCTCGCATTGTGCAAGAGGCTTTAATTTTTTTGGAGAGAGGGTGCAGGAGCGGAGTCCCTCCCCCTGTCTACGAGTCTCAAACACAAACATACAGAAAATGGTTTTTAGTGCGGGGGAGAAGGAGTTTTTTATATTATCTCATTTTTTTTCGAAAAGTTGGTTCTATTCAAAAAATGCATAAGACATAATTGATATATTTTTTCAAGAGCTACAACTTTTATTTGAAACATTTTTTATGCCATAAATATTTATTAAAATAATGTTAAAAAAGCGAGAATTTTTTGGTTTTTTTAGTCTTGACTTTTTTTGAAAATGACCTTGTCGGTAATTTTCACTATCCGTCAGCGTACTAAAATACAGTAGTATACCAATCGACAGCAAAATCGGAGGGTTCAGCTTTTTGGAACTTTATCCTTTATTCACAAGTAGCGGAAGTATGAATACATAGCTGCAACAGCATGTAATTTAGTAAAAGCTTGTTTTCTGCTAAGACAAAGTGACTTCGTTCTTTTTTGTTTTATAACACGTTTAGTAAGTGCCTCCTTTACGCTACATACATATATGTATTAGATGCAAAACAAAGTAGTGGCGAGCGATAATTCGCTATTGCGTAAAGTAATCAGATAGATAGAGACAAAGTTAATCGCGAGGTCTTTCATCTTGGCACAAGTGTGCCCGACTTTCAATCTTTTTCCCATTTAATTTCTCTTACAGCTTTTTTTTCTATCATTTATTGTATCGGATAATTAATAATCCACAATATAGTACTTATTTTTATCTCTATGTCTTGTAAATATGGCTAATCAACCCCAACACGAAACAACTAGAGATTGAAGCACAACATTACGTATCTTATTTCTTTTTAATTTTTGGCGAGAAAACATTCAAATAAGCGATGAAAACTTTTCAATAAAAAATACCATGCAATTATATATATTAAACTACTTAGAAAAAAAATCATGTATAAATAAAAGCCAAACCATACTGTTTGTTTTCACATTTGGTACCAAAGGAAATTAATACTTATAGAAATAAGGCGATTGCGGATTACCTTAGCACTAATGGCTATCAAGATGCACTGGAGGCATTTAAGAAGGAAGCAGATATGCCAGGAGAAGTGGAGAGGAAGTACGGGGGCTTACTTGAGAAGAAGTGGACTTCAGTTATACGATTGCAGAAAAAGGTAAAATTTTATTCTATATATAATTTGAAAAATATAATTACTACTCTTGACTCGATGTGTTGTGCGCAAGAAGAATAATATTTTGCGTCATCTAAGCGGTAAGTTCTTTATAAGACGCTCTGTAAACTGTCATAGGTAATGGAATTAGAGTCTAAACTTTCCGAAGCAGAGAAAGAATTCATAGAAGGCGCACCAACACGTAGTAAGAGATCACCGGCCGAATGGATACCGAGACCGCCGGAAAAATTTAGCCTGACAGGACACAGAGCTCCTATCAATAGAGTTATTTTCCATCCGGTTTTTAGTCTTGTAGTATCTGCCAGCGAAGATGCTACAATTAAGGTAAGAAGCAACTTGCAACTGAATCAGCAACTTTTATTTGTTATACACGTTTAAAATTGTCTTGTTTTTTCTTTAAAGAAAACTAGTTTTTAATACTTATTGGCTCTTTCTTTCAAGGTGTGGGACTTTGAGAGTGGTGATTTCGAAAGAACGCTAAAGGGTCACACGGACAGTGTGCAAGACATTGCATTCGATACTTCGGGCAAGTTGCTCGCGTCTTGTAGCGCGGACATGTCTATCAAGCTGTGGGATTTTCATCAGTCGTTTGCTTGCGTGAAAACTATGCACGGCCATGATCATAACGTCAATTCAGTTGCGTTTGTACCACAGGGTGATTTTGTAGTGAGCGCCTCTAGAGACAAGACCATTAAAATCTGGGAGGTAGCAACGGGCTACTGTGTAAAGACTTTCACAGGGCATAGAGAATGGGTGAGAATGGCGCGAGTTAGCCCATGCGGCGAACTTATCGCTAGTTGCTCAAACGATCAGACTGTTCGAGTATGGCACGTGGCAACGAAAGAGACAAAGGTAATTTGAGAAATTAAATATTTCTCGTCTGTTTAAAATTACTGTAATTACATTTAAAATTCTTCGAAATGCCAGGTCGAATTCAGAGAACATGAACACGTGGTAGAATGTATTGCATGGGCGCCCGAAAGCGCAAGAGCTTCGATCAATGCAGCGGCTGGAGCTGACAATAAAGGTGCACATGAGGGACCTTTCCTCGCATCCGGATCGCGAGACAAGACAATTCGCGTGTGGGATGTTGGTGCCGGAGTGTGTCTTTTCACTCTTATCGGGCACGACAATTGGGTGCGATGTATTGTCTTCCATCCTGGCGGCAAGTTTATTGTTAGCGCGTCTGACGATAAGACGCTGCGAGTCTGGGACACGCGCAACAAACGAGTGATGAAGACTCTCGAAGCGCACGTTCACTTTTGCACTTCTGTCGGTTTGTATCTTATTAACTTTAACCAAGACAATATTTTTTCTTGATTTTATTGAATAACTAAACTTTATGTCAATATGTTCTATATAACATGTTATTTCTGAACCAGATTTTCACAAAAATCATCCTTATGTCGTCACCGGGAGCGTCGATCAAACGGTGAAGATTTGGGAGTGTCGCTAGTCATCGAATTTAGATTTTCCGTTAGACATCGTGAACGGAAAAGAATGAAAAGATAAAATGAGAGAAAAGACGAACGCGCGCGTCCATTTTAGTGGAATCAGCTGAAAAAGTAAGCAGCTACAAAACTATCGTATGCTACTAATATTAATATTATTATACATGAACACACAAACATAAACACGTATGATTAAGAACTCTAATTAATTTATAATAAAGTATACTTAGTAATATTATATTACGATACACATTGTTTTACGGCAATGAACTACACTATTCGAGAAGAGTGAATCGAGAGATTGTCATAAGATCAAACGATCAAAATGACGGTCCTATGAGTTCTCAGTACGGATATTATCTATGGACGTGGAATTATTAATGCCATATACAATTACGAAAGTTATATTCCTTTAGACAGTTGTGCAATTGTAGTAGGCATTATTCTGTACATATATATATATATATATATATATATATATACGTCTTTAAGCAGCGCGAAAATTTGATGTGATTATGAGTACAACCTTTGATGTTTTCTTACTCCTCTCTTTGCTTGCTTATGCAATGTATCGGTTAAAATATTAGTTACCAACTGGTCACACACCCATTTTAAATGTGCAATGTTTAATGTATATTTCTTATCAACTCATATATATTTTGATGAATATTGAGTTATCACACTCACTGCATTGCAAAGGCAATTTGTTTTTTTGGGACATATAAGTTAATGTCGCAAATGATATAAATAAAATGACAATGATACAAATAAAAATAATATATATATGACAAGACAAAATTTTGTTTCAACAAAAATTGATATTTTGTTACAAATTTATCTTTAGTTAAAATTTATCTTTATTAGATTCTTTGTCGAAACGTATCTTTTTATATACATGCACCTATGTATATTATAAATTCTATTACACATTACATATATATGTATGTGAATTCAAATCTCAACATGAAAATCACTAAAACAATATCTCCTAAATTGGCCAAAGTATTCTTTCAATCTGTTTAAATAATCAATTTTCTCAACTTATGTATTTTATTTAAAAATAAATAAAAATAAATGTTAAATATTGTGAAATTGTGTTTTAGTACAATATAAAACTGTGTTTTGATACAATATTAAAAATTTATTTTTATTTATTTTTGAATAAAATACATAAGTCGAGAAAATATTAATTGTTTTTGAAGAAATATAAAGAATACTCAAAATAAAAGACGATGATGAAGGATTTACGACATGCTTAAGATCGCCGTGATTATTAATAATGATATTACAATGGGCACACATCCAGCCTACGAAAGATGCATCAATAAAAATTTAAATATTTCAGTGATGCTAGTGAAAGAAAAGGTTGTAAGTTATAACATAACGCGTACACATATAAATGTTTTCGAACGTATAATTCATTGCGTGGGTTATAAGAGAGGTGGTATTAGTTAATTTTTTAGTTCTAACTATTCTATTAGCGATAGCGCAGACATAATGTAGACGATAGAAAAAAAATAAGAAAATAAACTTCAGAAAAAAAGAGAGAAAGAAAGGGAGACATTAAGTCAACGATTGATCACACAAATATACACAATATACACAACCGAAACATCTGATCTTCGGATATTCTCGCTAAAAAAAATATTTGCACATACGTATGAACTGTGCAATCTGCAAGCATCTCATTAATCGATTACTTAATTAAGAGTAATTTTTCAAACATTATATTTAATTATTGTCTACTATCTTTTCCAACTGTTTCTCCTGTACTACTCAACCTTCAGCCAAGTATAAAAAGAATGAACCTCCAAGAAGAAATATTCTTCAAGTAATGTGGTACTAAATTATTTTAATGAATAATAAAATAAATAAATAATATTGTCACTGAGCACATGAAATTATTGTTTTATATGTATATATATATATATATATATATATNTATATATATTATATCCCCCTATTATTAATATTATTCTTGAAACAATAGTTTCTTTTCCTTACAGCTCTTTTGAATTAATTCCTTCACTGTCCGTAAAACTACAAACGTTTCTATTGCTCGTTATAATATATCTTACTAGAATTTTCATAGTTTTCCTCTAGCAGTAGGCTTAAGAACTGTTTCTTGTGCGTATTATGTATGTATTAATTAATCTACACATATACATGACAGTATTTTATAGTACAATAAGACAAGAGTTAGCGACGTAATATTGTAAGTACAACGCATACCAAACACCGATTGTGCGTGTTTATATTTAGATGATGTAATAAAACAGTGTCGCTCTTCATAAGATTCATCTCTCATGATAGCTTCTGTGACTCGCTTTCTATTCGCTTGAAAAAATAATACCAATAAGTAGATTTACAATAAAGCATTCTTTGTCATTTGTAATATATAGATATTGATAAATTATTTATTGAGATCCTAGAAAAAACTATATATAATTATTAAATTCTTTGGAGAAAAATAGGTGTGTTACAAACACATAATTTTATAAAGTACATAAAATAGTAACTTGCAATATTACTACATTGATATAGATCTTTTTATATATGCATATATTTCCAATATTTTTAAAAATTGAATTATTAAAAGAAATCTGAGAAAAAGAGGAAAAAAGTGACAGTTTGATCACAAGCCAATTTTTATTTTTATATGTATGTATACATACATATATACACACGCTTCCACATACAAAATTTGAAACGTTTAACATGGTTGATAATATCGATCGCTTAGTTATCGATCGTAGAAACAGAGACGTAGACGCCATCACGTCACTCATTCATTGAACATTGAACCACATTGAACATCATCGTTTAATTAATACGCGAGAAGATATTTATCGGTACGTAGACTTGCAAACTTTATTATTCGTTCTCTTACACATACGTTTCTTAGAAATCTACGATTCCTTTAAATTAAATGTTATAACATCTCTTGATTTTTGGTTACTTGAAATATTTACAAAGATGAAATAACATTTAACGACATTTTTCCTAGTCCTAGGTAAATTATTAGAGTATCTTTTTGATACGAGTGTTTCGCAGCGTTTTCTCGAAGTTACAATCAAAGCAGAAATGGCATCACAAGATATAGTATCCGCTAGTCAGTTACCTGACACTCAGAATATAGATCTGTTAACACAATCACAAGACACTACAAGCACACAACTTACTTTAAAAACGTGGGGACAATTACATCCCCTGCGATCATCTTTGAAAGGTTTAGGTAAGTGTTTATATAAAAATTATTTTACATATACACATCTATATATTTTACTATATAAAAGATGTTCTTTTTCCATATATTATTTAAAATTTTAGACAATCCATTTTGAATTAGATGTACAATTATGTGTGTGCACGCACATACACATGAAAGAAAATATAATAATTAAATAATATAATAAAACTTATTACATAAGTGTGTTTTAAGATTCATCATCAGTATTAAAAATCTATAATATAAATAAAATGAATTATAGAATTTTTGCTACTAACAATGAATTGTAAAACAACCATGTTTTTATTAAATAAAACATAACCTTTTTTCATCAAACTTTTTCATCAAATAGCTATTTTACAAAAAGATATTTTATTTCTTGTTTTCTTATTATCACTCATTTTAGACATGATGAGAGATGGTAAAAATAATGGTTATACCTTAGGACGATCTGAGCATTGTGATATTCACATTTGCACAGATCACGTCAATCTGAAATGGTTGAATGTGATCAGTAAAGTGCACTTTAGTATATATAGAGATAAGATAAACAATACAAATGAAACTGTAGTGTATCTTGAAGATAAAAGCCAGAATGGAACATTTGTCAACAAAGTAAAAGTTGGTCGCGGAAATCGCGTTATAATTGAAAATAAAGCTGAGATAGCTCTGGCAAAAGAAACATTTTCAGGTAACTGCTTGATAAGTAAGCTTATTATATTATTATGTGCATTGTATGTTGAATTGTATATATTATTATATGTTAAAATATTAAAAAGTAAGAGATACTAATGTCTTCTATTATAGTTTATATATTTATAAATACATTGCTGGATGATTCTCTTGAGTTACCATTAAAATTGAAACAAAAATATACACTTGGTCGTAAACTAGGATCTGGTGCTTATGGTGAAGTGAGAATGATATTCACAAAAGATGGTTCTAAACAATTTGCTATAAAAATTATTCAGAAGCCAACTATCATTTCTACTGGAAATCCATTTCATTGTCCAGAAAAAATTTGGAATGAGGGTGAAATATTAAAACAATTAAGACATGTAAGACTTAATGTAATAATTATTTGCTTTATCTTATATCTTTATATTCTGAATATCAATAAAGAGAAATTTTTGGTTTTTTTAGCCTTGTATAATCCATATGGAGGACATATATGATTCTCCAACAACATTGTATATTATTCTTGAATTAATGATGGGTGGAGAACTTTATGAACGAATAAAAAACAAAGGTAAATTGTCGGAACCATGTGCGAAACTAATATTCTATCAAGTTGTACTTGCTGTTTATTATCTTCACAAAAATGGTATTACACACAGAGACTTGAAGGTATTGTTCAATATATTTATCATATATGTTGTGTATAGATTTCCGTTTCCAGTATGTTGGTAAATATGTGTGGTGGAAAGTGGTGGATGGAAGAAAAGCGTGATAAGAAAGAAAGAAAGAAAGAAAAAGTGAGAAGAGTGTGAGAGTGTGTGTGAGAGAGAGTAGTAGGGAGCGCGGGAAAATAGAAGAGAAGGTAGAAGTGGTAAAGGAATATAATCATAGACATAATAGGAATAACGAAACGGAGCATAAACCTTTTTTTTGTACGTGGTGGAAATCCTTTATAGATGCCTCGATTCCAGGAGGAAGAGAGTCGGTGGTGGTTTATCCGCTAAAACCATCACGGTGTGCCTGACCAGCTCGTTAAGACGAAGGGCCCCGGGACTCTCCCTCGGGCGTATGCATTTGGAGGGAAGATAATCTCTCCATTGCTCGTGGTTGACGACGACGAGTGGAATACACGCTACTGCGTTGTCTCGTCACGGTCCCCGGCGGTAGTTAACCATTCCCGAGGAAGTCGGTACCTCTCCGGGGCTACCGTCCGTCTTCTATATTTCCCTATTGGGGTGAGACGGAGCATAAACCTAACCTAACCTTTTTTTTGGAGGAAATCCTTTATGGATACCCTGGCCATGAAGAGTCGGCTTATGTGGGAGTCTCTTCCTCATCCCGCGAGACAAGGGAGGTTTACCCACTAAAACTTCCAAAGTGTGTCTACTTAGCTCGTCTGAGGGAAGGACCCGGAACTTCTAGTAAGGACTCTGCCGGGACCCTCCCTCGAGCTAACTAATTTGATTACACTGAGGGGAGAACATGTGATGTTCTCCCTCAGGCATTCCCGATTTCGACGTGACGGTGTGTGTCCCGTCGCGTTGTCCCTACTCGTGATTGTGTGCAAGACAGACCGGGGCTTTCACCCAGGGATGCCAGATTCCGGCCGTTTGGTCGCATGCAGTCGCATGGAGGAGAATTCACACAGCTTTATATCGCTCGTACATGTGAGCTCGAAACTTCGGGCGCGGTCGGCGAGTAGAAAGAGACAGAGAAATGACTTTCCGTCTCGCTTTCGCTCGTACGAGTTGGCGTCGTTCAAGATACGACGTTCGACTGTACAACGCGTAAGCGACGTAAGAAATGTCCGAGTCGGCTCACTTCCTGACTTTTATTTATATTTTATTTATAATGCATTGCACACATATGTGTGTAATATATGTAATACATTGCAATTGTAAAACATGTTAGTTTTGTAATTATATATGTCATTAATTAATAATAATTGTTAAAATTTCCATCACCTCGCGGTTTCCGTCAAGCAACAATATGTACGTCTATATCAAGTGTTTATAAAATATAGATACGTAAAATATATTGTTTATTCAATATACATAAAATGGAAATATTGATCTACCTCAAAACAATGTGTTACTTAAATTTTTATTTTTATTTTTGCTAAGAAGTTTACATATATATTTTGGTACATTTTTACATATACTTCAATACAAATATTTATTTAAAACGAAACATGTTGGCCAAGAGTAGTAAATTTATTATTTTATTTGTACGTTTTATTTTTTGTATATATATGAATTTGGTATATATATAAAGAAAGTGTATCAATAATAAATAAAAGTCAGGAAGTGAGCTGACTCGGACATTTCTTACGCCGCTTACGCGTTATGTACAGTTGAACGTCATATCTTGAACGACGCCAACTCGTACGAGCGAAAGCGAGACGGAAAGTCATTTTTCTGTCTCTTTCTACTCGCCGACCGCACCCGAAGTCTCCGGCTCACACGTACGAGCGGTATGAAGCTGTGTGAGTTCCCCTCCATGCGACTGCATGCATAGACATATAAGAAATAGACTGCGCGTCCCGTATCTTTTCTGTGCAGAAAGAATGGTCAAACTTCGGACGAGGATAGATGCTTTCACCCGAGTCTCTATCCTTGTTTAGTGACGCGGTGATTGGCGGACAAGAAAAGTAGTAGGAATGAGAAATAGCGTAGTGGGGCAATAGAGGAGCATCGAGCGATGAAGGGGCGACAGTAGGCGATTGACAGCATAGACATTCTATGGAGTTGTCTTCCGAATGGGGGGTCCCCACTCCAGGTGCTGAAAGACAGAGACAGAGACTCGGGTGAAAGCATCTGTCTCACTCCGAAGTTTGACTCACTTCCCTTCTCACACGCGCAGTCTATTTCTTATACGTCTATGACTGCATGCGACCAAACGGCCGGAATCTGGCATCCCTGCTTTCACCCCGACTCGTCACGATCCCCGCGGCAGTATCTCCCTCTTGAAGCATTAACCTAACCTTTACTTTTACTTTAGGTGAAGTGAAGTTTCCGGGGAATGGAGAATGTGTACTTAAGCGAAAAAACGCCTATAGTCCGACATTGCTCAACTATCAGCGGAATAACGCAGCAAACGAAGCACTGCCAGTGCTAAAAATCTACTCTTTACGTCACATGTGCTATAGATTTTCGGTACTGACAGTGAATATCAAAACAGTCAAAACCTGCTCAATGCAAACATGTTGATGTGTTGTCAAGTAAACTCTGCTTGAGTGACAACTAATAATCAATGCAGCACTAAAATACCATCGTGACCGTGTTTCCCGCTCCCCGGAAGCGGTTTCACCCAGGGATGCCAGATTCCGGCCGCTTGGTAGCATGCGGTAGCATGGAGGGGATAGGACATCTTCATGCCGTGTCAGAGATGCCAGATCGCGCCGGACAACATCGAGAGTATCGAAGCAGGGTACCCTCACCGTCTTCGATGCTCTCGTACGCATACAAGCAAAAACAGCGTCCGTGTGCGGTTCTCGCTTGTATGCGTACGAGAGCATCGAGGTGGTGGGGATACCCCGCTTCGATACTCTCGATGCTGTCCGGCGCGATCTGGCATCTCTGACACGGCATGAAGCTGTCCTATCCCCTCCATGCTACCGCATGCTACCAAGCGGCCGGAATCTGGCATCCCTGGTTTCACCTCTTGCAGTTCCATCTCTTATGACTGACCTATTGGTTTCGCGGTCTGAGTGCAAGGACTGTGAACACGAAGGTCTCGAGTACGAATCCGCTTACTATCTAAGAATTTTTTCTGAGCCGGTTTCTTTCAACCGAGTTTTACCGGGTGATTGGCGAACTGAATTAGGCCTCCAAAAATTAAGTCGAGTGAGTTAATCTCGAATTAATTCTCCTCTTAGGCTAGTATTACATTTGTCGTACGACAAATGTAATATTAGCCTTACAAGGTAATCTTACAAAGAGAAATGTTTCCTTCGCCAATTCGCTTTATTTTTAGTATACGTGCGGGTCATGATCAGGACTTAAACATGTTAAAGTTATAAAACGCAATATTGAGCCAATTCTGAGAAAATCGATTTTGAAAACTTCACGAGAGAGAGAGAGAGTGCTCATATACTTTAAGTTAGACATTTTTCAAGGAGCGCGTGGCGCAGCGAGCAAGCGCGGAGTCGCCAGATTGATTCTCGCTGCTGGAGTTTTTTTTTTAATGATTTCTTTTCCCTATGTTAATCCCTACGTAATTTGCATCAAATATATAAAAATTATTTAAATTAATATATACTTAATAATTATTTCTTTACAAAAATGCAATTTATTCTTTTCATCACTTTCTCACAAAAAATCGGATCCATAATATACGAAAATATATTGATTCTTTCAAGGTATTTTGTGCACATTTTGACCTGCAGGAAACAAAACATTTTCGTTTGGCGGTAGAAGAGGAAGGTAGGAAGGGAAAATCCAGATAGCTATTGGAAACTGCATTATATTCATTGGTTATATCTGTTCGTAGAACACATTGTATTCATTGGTTCCACAAACAGATATGCCATAGGTTGCGACTCCTCTCTTGCGCCGAAAGGTAAAAAAGAACAAAAACCGTTAGCATACATTAATCAATGTATTTCCGAATATTATGTATTGTCCGATTTTTGTAAGAAAAAGTGATGAAAATAAACTGCAGTTTTGTAAAACATTAATTAAATACATATTAATTTAAATAATTTTTATATAGGTATTTATAATGCAAATGACGATTGATTAAAAAAATCATGAGAAAAAAAACAGAACTCCAGCAGCGAGAATCGATCTGGCGACCTCGTGCTTCCGAACCAAGGCGCTTATTCGCTGCGTCACGCGCTCGTTGAAAAACGTTTAACTTATAAGGTATTTGAGCAGTCCTGAATTTTTCACAATCGATTTTCTCGGAATTGGTTGAATATTGCGTTTTATAACTTTAACATGTTGAAGTTTTAATCATGATTTGCACATATACTAAAAATAAATCGAATCGGCGGAAAGAACGTGGTAACTTCCTTTTGTTACAACGCTTTGAACATGAGTTCGACACAAATAAGCATGCTCTGTTAAAGATGGCCGTGTATCGCGTGATAGTAGCCATGGTTACTTCCACCATGGTAATAGCAAAAACTGCACGGTTTGATCAGAATTTGTTCACATGATATATCTAGAAGAATGGCGTATGGGTACTGAAGGCCTTCTAATCGTCATAACATCAAAGCCAAAACTTTCCGTCTTATTATTCCTATGTCCAGAATAGTGTTAAAAATCAAAGGCAATAGGAGGTTAAAAATACAAGAGTAAGCGTAAAGAGCAGAGACAAAATCAGGTAGAGAGCGTAGATAGTGGTAAATATAAGTTCGGGTAAAAAGGCGGAAATTTCGATAAAGTTAGGTTAGGTTAAAAATGAAGTTGAAGGAAAAAACAAAAAAGGAATAAAGACAGAGATAAAAAGAAGAGATAGAACGGATAGTACGCGGGAAAACGATGCCTAAAAAAGATTGGAAGAGAAGAAAAGATTGTGATGAAAAAATAGTTATTCAAAAGAAAGAGAGAAAGTGATGGTAGTAAAGATAACGATTTAGGAAAGAGCAAGAAGATAAACAGACGTTTGAGAAAAACAATAAAATAAGTAGATGGAAAAGGAAGAAAGAGAATGTGGATACAAAT